CAACATAAAATATTTTTAGAGTCGCCCCCAAAAAATAGTTAACCTTTGCAACTAATGAACATTTTCTGTTTATATTTTTGTAATGTATAGTGATATAACTTACACTTTAGATTTGAATAAAAATTACTAAATTGTTAACTTTAATTCGCCCTATGGTGAAAAAATTTATACTGTATTTTACAAGTCTAACATTACAGCTTCAATGTGTCAGCGTGTTAGGCGATTTACACCTGTCAAATATTCGGGAAAATACAACTTGCTGATACTACTTTAGCTTTAGCTTTTTTTTACTTTAACTTTAGCTGCCGTGCCATCAAAATGTAAATGATGTTGGTATACTTTTAACGTGTACAAACAAGAAAATACAACATCACAATTAGTTGAATTTTGTTAATCACCACATTTTATTAAAGCTGTGATGAGTTATACTTGTATTCGTAGTTCAATTAAATAAAAAGGTGTTCATTAAGTTTTATTTTGCAACAGGCTTATTCACGAGTGTTTGCCTAGCAATAATTAGAACAGTGTTAGAGTTTTTAAAATGCAAATATAAATAATATGTACGGTACTTTTCAAAGAAGTAGTCAATTTCTTTAAATTTTCGTAAGTGTTTAAAGGCGTGAATCTTGCACGTGCAATTATCTTACAAACTAAATATGCTTACAATTAAAAGTGAAGAAGTATATTCTGTTTTCTATACTATACGTTTTCATGGTGGATAATTTGAAAAGCCATTTGTACAAACAGGTCAAACGTTAATGATGTTAAAAAGTGAAAGAAAGTTGTGTTTGACTTTAATGAGACAAGAGAACATTAATGATCCTAGGGTTTTATAACTCAAGAGCTTTTCATTACATCCCACAAATCAACTCTCTGGAGTAAACGAGCAAAAGTATTAGACTTTTTGTTCTACGGCATCTAAGTCATTCTCCATTTACACCACAAACAACCTTTTTTTAAAATATAAAAACACAGTTGTTACAATGATTATGTATATTATGAACTATAATATTTAAACATTCCATAACGAAAACATTTTAATGTTCATTTAATTATTAGATTAACATAAAATATACAGGATGGTAAAAAAGTCCCTGGACAGTTAAATATTTTAAAAAATAATGCAGATAGAGCTACAATACTTGGTACAAAGTTACAGGGCATAAAATTCTATTTTAACACATATTCAGTGATCGAATAACTCTTCAGGGGGACGGCCCACAAGGAGTCGGAAGAAAATCTTAAATGGAAGCATAGGTCAATATGCACATCAAATTAAAGGTCTTTTTTAGTAAAATACAATGCCGCAAACCGCACTTCAAAAGGTTGATCCTGCGCAAAATGACAGTTGGTCAAAGATTCATTTAATTTACATTGCTATTATACGCTTACTCCTCAGGGGAACGTAGCCCTAGGAATCGGAAGAAAATTGTTAACGTAAGAATAGGTCGATATGCACATAAAATTAAAGGTCTTCAATAGTAGATTACGATGCCGTAAATTCAAGCTCAAAAGAATGCCTGAGTAAAAAATGACAGTCGTTCAAAAATTCAAAATGGCGGATTCAAGAAATCTTTGAACATCTGCCATTTTGCGCAGGATCAACCTTTTGAAGTGCGATTTGCGGCATTGTATTCTACTAAAAAAGACCTTTAATTTGATGTGCATATTGACCTATGCTTCCATTTAAGATTTTCTTCCGACTCCTTGTGGGCCGTCCCCCTGAAGAGTTATTGGATCACTGAATATGTGTTAAAATAGAGTTTTATGCCCTGTAACTTTGTACCAAGTATTGTAGCTCTATCTGCATTATTTTTTAAAATATTTAACTGTCCAGGGACTTTTTTACCACCCTGTATAAATTATAACTAACACATTATTAAATCTATGGTTTCATGCCTTAAGGAGGCAGATAGTTGTTCAAAGTTTATTAAGTTTTTTATCATTTTGACATTTGTTTGAAGAAATATACCTAACAGTGTAAGATATGAATGAAGACCTAAAGAAGCATGCCTTTAAGTGGTTTTACGTTTTAAGTTGTTTAACTCTCAAACAAACTATTTTTGTCAGCTATTTTATAGAGTTATAAACCTTATTTTTTCGAGAATGAGCCAAAACCGCAATGCTAATTAAAAAATCAAACGTAATACTTTAAAATGAGTACGACTACTTCTTAAGCTACGTTTCCATTCCTACAAATTTGTGCCGGGCACAAATCTCCGAATTTGTTGGAATGGAAACAGTCTGGTACAAGTCGCGGCACAAGTGCCCGGCACAAATTTGTGCCCGCCGACTGCGCGACAAAACATGTGCCCGAGTCGCGGGCACATGTGCCCAGTTGGAATGGAAACGGCCAGGCACATGTGCCTGCAACTCGCGCATGCGCAGATCCTCCGAACTACTGCATGTTCATAGATGACAGGTAATTATATCTTCAAATTTCGTTAAATTCATTGGAGGACATTTTTGAAGCCACTTTGTTTGCGCAAATCTCTCATCAATTAATTAAATGCTCCTTCCAATAGTCAATTATCAATTATATAAGATGGGGACGCCACTATGTGCGGATTTTAACCCAAATATGGTCTTTTAGCCAAAACAACTTCTTATCCACCATCTAGGTCGTTTTCTTCTTAGTTCATTGTATGCACCAGCCATAAATAAAAAATCAGAGGATGTTATGTCATCCATGGGGATTTGTAGAACACAATACAATCAAAATCACCACCAAACTTCACCACACCACTTGCCTGCCAGTTGTGGTCACGGGACTTGTGCCTAGAATGGAAACGGCATGACAAACTACGTGCGACATTTGCCGCGACATGGTCTCGACATGTGCCGCGACTTGTGCCTGCCACTTGTAGGAATGGAAACGTAGCATTACTCATTATGCTACCAGTACACTATCGCCGAACATTCGCCCGAATGTTTCGCCGAATGTTCGGGTCAGATTGCGACCGCGAATGTTGACGAATGTGCAGCCCGAACCATCCCGAACTAACCAAGTACACTATCGGCTACTTCGGCCGAACTGTGCTGAACCCAATATTGCGTATTCGCGGCAAAACATTCGCACCAAATTTTGTGCAACATGGACGCTTACGTCGAAGAATATTCTAGAAAATTCTAGAGGAAATTCTGTAATTTACGTTTGGTGTGAGACACCACTTGAATGTATCCTAAGTTTCTTACTTCTCTGTGGCTTAATAATTTAAAATTAATGCTTGCTTTTTTATTAAAAAGCTGGTCTTCTTAAACGATAATGTTTACATGTATATATTCAATTTAATTATCCCACGGCCACAGAACAGGCTCACTATGGTATAGTTCCAAAAATAAGAGCGTTTCCTCATTAGAATACTCCATACTTTGTACAATTAATTTATCTATATAAGATCTAGTAGAAAAAAATTAAATAAAAAAAAAATTAAAAGAAACTCTAACCACACAACCACTGCAGTAAATACTGTATAAAGAGAGCGTCCATGACTACGAATGACAGCGAGTGTGTACTGGCTATGTTCGTGCCCGTCTGCGCTCGGCACTCGTCCTAGTTCGTCTCCTTTGATTCGCGACGGGAGACCGCCAAAAAAGCGAGCGCACCCGAACACGAATGTTGGCGATGCGAACTACCCCAAATGTACACGAGCACACCGTGTACACTATCGCGTTCGTCTTAGTTCGCCTACATTCGGCGATAGTGTACTGCAGGCATTACAGTCCGTTAAAATTGTATACGAACCTCCACTTTCAGTTATGTGTTACACTGTTTGAGCTAAGCGATTCCAATAATTAAAATAATACTAATGGCAATAGCAATAATGGTCTAGTAAAGTAGTACAGTGCATATTGATAGTTTTGCTAAAACATATAGACCTCCTGACTGGGTAGCTGGGTCGTTAAGGTGCTCGTCTTTTTTGTCTCTAAATTTTGAGGCTGCAGGTTTGAGTTTTTGATTCCAGTCACATGGTCAGTCAATATTAGGTTATATGAAATCATTCTGGAATGAATGTTTTTGGCTGTTAGGGGTTTGGTGGTCACTATTCAATACAAGGCAATAAAAATGCGTCTTACATGGATACGTGTGTGAACTTTGCATTACATTGCTAAAGAAAACCCAATCGAATTTATCATTTGGTAGAAGTAAACATCAATGTTAATATTTCCCGTGCTTTACGTTAGAATTAGTACAACGTGGTACTCAGTAAATAAATTATTACAACCTTCACTGCTTTATAAGAAAATTATTTTAAATTCTTTGACACAACAAGTGAGGCAGTATAAACCATGACCTAATCTGTCGCTAAAATGGTGATATTAAATTTAACAATATTTATTTATTTTGTTACTAATTTATCAGTACTGTATAAATGTATGTAATAAACCTTAAAGTAGTGTACATATATTTACCAATGAAATTACAGTCCACCGTTTATTTTCTCTATTTAAACTCTTAACTAAAGAGCACGTTCAAGTAGATGATCACGTTTTGAGGTTATGATAATGGAATGCAGCTACTTGTACTTTTGATGGCGAGTGCAACACACTGCAATGTTTGCAAACGGCTAATTAGTTCTTAGATATACAGTTGCTTGTAAAGGGTTCTTGTGGGGTAAATGATAGAAACATGTTGCTTATACGTATGAACCTTCGGTAAATTATCTATGAAATAGATAATGATTGATTTGGCGGTTCCTGCTGTTTGAATGTATAACGTGAGTCAATTTATTTGGCAGAAGGATGTGCAGTTTGGATAAATTTAGTTAAAAGGAAAATTTTCACTCAGAATGTTCATTAAGCTACTTCTGAAAGTTTAGCCATGATGTTAAAATACACTACATGTAAAGAATTGTTGTTGTTTTTAAATCAATCTTTGAGACTACTTAACGCTTAGGAAAAGGAAATGTTAGCATACTAGATTATTATTATTAATTATCATTAAATCATTAGGTATATATCAGTAAACGCTAGATGTAAAATACGTTGTAATTACGTACATATTGAGAAGCTGATGTTTCATAAACTAGTTCCAAGTGTTAACACTAATACATGTCAGGTTAAATAAAACCACAGTAATTCGCCAACGCACGATAAATTAAAGCTATTTCACAGCAACAAAGTTGAACCACATTTTAACAAAGGCGGAGTAGTGTTTAATAACGTGAATGCTTTCTTGATACTAAGGAGTTCTCAATTGAAAGATAAGAACCCAGTGATGTAACCAATCAGGTGATAACCCTGCGTCGTGTTTACTACGATCAGATGTTTCATTGTTGTTGCCGATTATTTGTTTTTATTAACAAGTTGGCTGCAGTGGTTTAGCGTGTGGACATGTAGAAGAACACGCTAAAATCTTTCTTGCCTTACGCTTGGGTCTATATCACAATTTGGTTCTTTTAGCGAATTTCCCCTATAGGGAATGAGCTATTACCGTAGTACTTATAGTGAGACCTGGACCCGGGACCAATTTACTTTTTCGTTTTGAGGTCCCTAGAGACCAAAAACGCCAACCGTTCAAATTCATATATATATACAGTATATTTTTATATATGTGTCCGTTAGCGCAAAAAACTCGAGCAAAAATCATCCGATTTTGATGAAATTTGGTACAAACATGTAAACCTACGTTTATTCGAACGAGTTCGCAAACCAGCATGATCGGACTATTGGAACAGGGGTTTATGGGGGATTTTATGGGGCAAAAATTGGTTTTTTCCCATTTTTGACCCTAAAAACTTAAAATTTAGCATTTTCTTTCCACACCATTTTGTAGAGCTTAAAAAACAAATGATGTAGTATATTGAAGCGTTATTATACGCCTAATGGTTACGGAGAAAATTCCAAAAAACTGTAGATTTAAAGTTCCTATGTTATTCTTATGGAGAATAAGTTAACTGTTGTTGTTTGCTTGTTTATATTTTGGATCATATTTTGATCAAATTTGGAAAATGCATTAATTTCATACTAAACTATTAAATTTTACAAAAAAACACCTTTTTTACCCTCCCTGTTACAGCAAACCTAAGTACTCGTTAAAATAATGCTATTTAAATAGGGAATAAATGTGATATTTTTAAGGAGTCATTTTAGTGTAAATCCAATCAGTTAAATGGAAATTCGCTTAGTCTTCAGGTTTGCTGTGGCGGTGGCATTTTTTAGCTCAAGCTGGGTTTTCCTAGGCGCGGAGTCGGCCAGCGGAGAGAGGAACGCGGAGAGCGGACTCAGCTTGTCTTAGGCAATTTAATGTTACTGTTTTCCTAGAAGCGGAGCGGAATGCCATGTTAATTTCAATTCCGCTCTCCGCGTTCCTCTCTCCGCTCGCCGACTACGCGCCTAGGAAAACCCAGCTTTAGCGTGCTTAGTTTACTGATCAACATATTTAAATTTATATATAACTCATAATGATGAATATTTCCCCCCCCCTAGGGACGTAAAAAGTAAATCGGTGCACCATCTTGTGCGTTAGGATCAATATTCTCTGACCATGCCTCAATTGAGTTGAAAACTTTAGCAACTAAAATTATCAATCGCCTGATCCATAATTGTTGATCATGCTCATTTATTCTTCAGGAATCTATGAAACCAAAATACAGTTATTAATGCATTCCAATCGGAGTTGTTGCAGCATTACAGAATAACCCAGAATGAAACCACAATTAACAGTTAAATTAACACCAAACTAAGTTTATTATTGCAATGACTAATATTTTAGGGTAGGAAAATGGCTTATACACCGTTGGAGTCTAAAGTGTATAGTTAACCTGGAGTGTAGCTTTAACAAATAAATGAATTGATCAATCAATTAAACACCCACTAAAATCTAAAGGTCCAGGCAATGGAAACTCTCTCTGAAACACGGCTAGCAGTACTGCAAGGGGTATCTTCATACGCTGGAGATGTTCCACCGGGTTCAGCTACACTGGGGCATCACTGGTTGTTCGGTTCTCTTCCTTTTTAGCACCCACCTGGTGAATGCAGAAACAGCGTTCAACGATTCGGGACTGAACAACTTCAGACAGACTAGTGTGTCCAGCGAATCTGGCCAGCAACCTTCTGGCTCCTTTCCATCTCACGCAATGGAAAAAGGTATGCCGTACATTATTGTTGCAATCACCTTTAAGAATCTAGCCTATGAACAACGTAATTAAGTTATTGGTCAAGGTAGGGCCCCCTTTAAAGTTGAATTCATTACGGACTGCAATAAAGAAAGATGAATGCTAAACAGAGCAACGTCAATTACACATTTATTTGTTAGTTACATATAACTCAAAAAATTGCAAATCTTTTAAATCAATAATCAGTACATATTTTAATATCATTTTCCCATATTTTAATTTTTCGATATGACACAATGAAGGATGGCTTTTGTTATGATTTGTTAGTTTTTCGCCACCGGAAGTAAGTCAACTTATGCTTTTCACACAATAACAAAAACATATAAACAAATTAATTTCATTTATAGAATGCATTTTAATTTATTTTAACAGAATATAACCTATATTGGAATCTTAAATTATATTCAAAAATACTTAGTACAGTTGAATATATAGCCGTATTAAATATCCGTTGTTAAGTTGATTACATTTAAGGTGGATGTAATTAGAGGTAGTTTTACAAGGGAAAAAGGTAAAATAGATTTTTTTCACATGCAAGTGTATTCAGGTCGTGTGTGTGTGTTAATAGTTTAAAATGGATTCAATCACAAACCCGAGTTCACTTCTACGCGCTTGAAAGAACAGGTCAATTTCCATGTTAGGTCGCACTTTTGAAATTGATACTTTGATGCTTTAGTCAATGTTAATAGCATAAACATTTATGGAAAGTAAATAAAAGATACGTCTAATAACAATTAAAACATATATTCACGCTTATACTCACAAGGCTGTAAATATACATAAAAGATTATACGGTAACAACATTCATAAACATTTACTCATACAATAAATTAAAAATTACATTGGTTTTCAGGCAAGGCCTTTGTATGATAATAAAATGCTAAATAGATGGTATAAATGCGGCGTTTTAAAATTTCATTTTACTTTTATGTGATTTGACTTTTTTAAGCCATTTATATAGATATATGCAAAAAATTAAGGTATCTTAAAAGAGAAATTAAACCTAAACCGTTTTTATATATCTGTAGTTTATATTAACAGGTGGGAAATAATCATTGAGTCCTACCACACCAAAATTCTTCATGAAACAACTTGTTTGACACCCATTTGCAATTCTTGTTACAATTTATCTAAAAACTCACATTTATTGTTATAATTCATTTCCAACTTCACATGAAACTGATCAATTGAAAATCTGATGATTCATCCTGAGTATCGTCTCATCTCTGGTTCGTAACTACCTTATGGTGATACGTAGTAGTAATCTATCCTATAATACGAGTTAAGTTTGCACACATTGATTTTGAAGACGGCTTACTCTAAACTGTTAGGAATATCTTAGTTACATTCTAAAAAATCCATGCTAGCCACTGTTCTGGAAAAATTCCAAATTTGCCAAACTTAAAATGAAATCATAATATTTTAAACATTGATCGTATAGAAAAACAGGTATCCAAAAAATTAACACACGCTTATAGGTATCCACACAGTAACATAATGCTTATCACAAATCATCTATAAAGTATTATAGATTGGAAAGTATTATACCATAGTAATGAATGTTGTTTGTAAACATTTTTGTCAAGTTTCATAATTTTAACATTATTTTTATTTATGCTCTTGTAAATTTTGGAAACCCTTGTTAACTTTGTTAACTTGGGCTGAAAATTCCCGTTGAAAGCACCGTTGTAACTAGGTATTAATTGTCAGTATGAACGAAAAATATAGTGTCCAATTCTAAAATATAATGTTTAAAATATAGTAGCTAATTGCTAGAAATACATTACCAAAGAAATTGACATCCTAATCATGGAAATATGTTCGGTCCCCTGGTACTACTTATAAGCTAATTTTCACCTGTTGCACTCACACCCACTAGTCCATAATTCCAATTGGCTTCAATTTATAACATTGGTTGCGATAACATTATGGTTCTCATAATATTGATCTTACATTTCAGCAAACATTTACTTCTTACTGAGGTCCTAATATAATTGTACACAAATCTGTATCAATTTGCTGACATCAATTAGTAATTCAAATTACGGCACAAATTATATTTGTTAACGCTGTCAATTAAGTTCATTAGGTCTGTAAAGAGTTCATGATGTAAAGTTTTACCTTCATACATGTCGTAAGTGGCTTTAGAACAGTTAAATATGGCTCTCATACCGTAATAAACTATCTTTAAACGCACAACTATACCGGCATTACTTACATTTACAAAATATACTGCTAAGCAAAATATGCATTAAAACGAAAAACGTAAACGTATAACATTAAACATTCATGAGATTTATGTAAGTTCAAGTAAACCTGAATTTGGACGTTATTAAAATAACCATTCAATAAACTATGCTTATTGAAAAACATTCATTATACCAATGTTGCGAATGTGAAACAGTCAAAGCCACATGATAGTTCCCACCATTATAACAGCAGAGAAGCAGATGAACAAGGCAAGATAGATAGTGCTGTCAAATTGTACATAACAAACATTTCCTTCAGCACAACAAAGCACCAGAACAATCGCAAGCTCTGTAATGCGGTAGTCTAAAATACCAAAATCCAGTTTAAATTCTAAAATGTATAAAAATATACAATTTTAAGTAATCTTAAAGAAATATTAAAGCTACAAACCTTATACTACTTAATTATAAAAGTATACATGTAATAAGCTGAGCCGTGGTAACCATATGACCAGTTCTGTTATACAACTGAAAACAATTGACAACATTGTATTGAAAGACGTAAATAAAAACAATTTAATCACATGATACATGTATAATACAAAATACAAGAGTAATATTAATACTGTAATGTATAGACATACTTTTTAGAGGAAGCACACATTATTATTTTAGTTAATTTTATAGTCACGAGTTATATATAATTTTCACTTTCCGAGTGATTTAAAAGGTTTGTAGAAGTTGGCAGCCTCTCTTAACATTGCAATTACTGTATTAACCCAATAGTTGGGTCCACATTGAATGTATGTGGGTATATGTG